ACTTTCGCTGATTCTGTTCGTTTGCTTGATAGAAAATTGATTCTTGTCCCAAATTCGAATCTGAAAAGGATTTTGAAAACTTGAAAATAATGCGTTTTTTGAGCAAACAGAATTGCCTAAAAAACGTTGCTATAACTGGAATGACCTGAAACTTTAAAGATACTTTGAAAAAGAGTAACGAGAGCGGCGAATTTTCCCAATAATTTTTTGTAAACTTTTGCTCTTTGGTCGTTTTTTCAAGATAATCTTAATTACTTTCGGTAAAAAACTGATTAAAATTATTTGGTTTTTGTGCCAAATTATAAGCTGAAACGAGTTTTCTAAAGTTCCCTGCAAACCGATGAATGAGGCGAAYTTTTTTAGCAAAATCAATTTTGTAATTTTTGGCTGCAAAGGCCTCATTATTGTCAGAAAATGMTCAGAAAATTATTGTAWTTTTTTGCGTTTTTGATTAAAAACTTTTAGTTTTGTGATCKGTTTTKGMGRAAMCCTTAATRRWTTTCGGGRAAAACCKKGMKRAATTTATTTTYGTTTTTRTCCCGAAYTCKRCSCYGAAARAWGTTTTTGTGAAATTCCTACAAAGCTATAGATTTGTCTTGTAATTTTTCGCGTAAAATACATCCAGATCGTCAGTATTTTTAAGTRAAACTCTACAAAAWRGAGCRTTTTTGAGTARAWRGYAAAGCAAAAAAAWTCAGTCSAAAYTAAAAAAYCRYATTTACAGTAKTAACTTACAGTAASTCTACAGTCTTCAGAGKAATGTAAGTCACRAGTTTTCCGAATAATTTATTATAAACTTTCGCTGATTCTGTTCGTGTTTTGATAGAAAATMATTTGATTCTTGTCCCAAATTCGAAGCYTTAACGGGATTTCAACATTTTTTTACAAAGCGACRAAGGCGAATAATTTTTCGCGAAAAATACCTTAAGATTGTCGTATTCTTAAGTGAATTTTTAGAAAATTGAGCATTTAGAAAAAAGAGTAACTTCGGGAAAACTGGAAAATTCTGAAATTTTCTGCGCCGGTGCGTTGGGTTGGCGCACCAAGCCATTTGTGTTGCACTGCGCCAACTGCTAAACATTTATTGAGTTACCCAGGCCTAGCCCAAGTTTAGAACATTTTTGCAAAATGCAGGCTAGAAACGCCCAAAAATCCAACCCAACGTGTGGGACGCGTGGGCCTAGGCCATATACCTATCAACTCCTTGAAACCCTACGCTTCTTCTACTACCTGCCCTTATCCGCCCGCCTTTTGAGCCTCATTTAAGGCGTTTATTCTGGGGCAGCTTAATTAGATAATCACTATCACATAGAGCGGTACCAAATCGTACCGTTGCATATGCAAAATCTCCCCATTAGCGATGTTGTATAAATAAGCGGTCGTTCCGTTGTAGCAAATTATAGAAAGCAATCAGAAGTGACCTCTTGCTCCACAGAGTTATGTCTATGGAAATAGTGCCGCAGCCGTGAGTTCCGGGTTGCATATTCCCTGTTGCATTACTCACTTCTCATATTGCCTAACTTAATTTGTAGTTTTCCTGCGGTTTAATTGTTTAACGGTTTGTTAAAGCAATGCGAAAGTAAAATTCCATCGGCAGGCTCTCTTTGTTGATATTAATCATCATAAACATCATCATCGTCATGTGCAGTTTTAAAGGATGCATTTTTGTTGATGAAAATTGCTTTCACTTCTAAAGGTTTTCAAATTTCGCCAAAAGGCCAAAGAAAACGAACATGAAGAAACAGGGTGTCTGTGAAAATTATAATTGTTGCTTAAAACAGTTTTAGCCAAAAGATACTTTTTTGTTTAAGCTACGCAGTTTCTGGAAATTAACGTCAAGTTCAAAAATTTCTGAAAAATTCCCGGATGTTTAGCTCTTACTGGAATTTGACACCCTTTTAGACAAACTCTTTCTCTTGACTGTGTCGAAATTTCATTTTGCTATTCTAACTGGTAGAGGAGTTATGATGTTTTGTTAATTGGGCGCCAGGTTTTGCGGTTATTTAAATTTAACGTCAAGTTTAAAAGTTTCGGAAGAATCAGTGCCGGATTGCAATTCAATAACATTTTGCCTCCTTTTAGACAAAACCTTTCTCTTGATGGTGCCGAAAATGTAATGTGCTTGTCCGACTGGTTTTCAAGTTAAGATTTTTTGTTTAACGCCACTACAAGCTACGAGGTTTCTTCAAATTAACGTCAAGTTCAAAAGATTCTGCGAAATCAGCTGATGTTCGGATTTTAATAAACTTTTATCCAGTTTTAGACACAGCCTTCCTCTTTACTGTGTCGAAATTTGAATTTTATATTTCATCTGGTTACGGAGTTATGATTTTTTATTGAACTGCCCTATAAACCACGCAATTTATTGAAATTTACGTCAAGTTCAAAAGTTGCATAAAAATCAGCGGAGGATCGATATTCAATGACATTTCGTAGAATTTTAGACCAAATTATCTCCTCGACAGTTCCAAAACTTCAAGTTGCTACTCCAACTCATTCGAGAGTTATGATTTTTTGCACTTGAAGTTATGCGGTTTCTTAAAACTAACGTCCACTTCAAAAACTTCTGGAAAATGAGTGAACGATTGGTATTCAATAAAATGTCATTCGATTTACGGAAACCCTTCTTTTCCATCCTGCTGAAGCTTCAAGTTGTTACTCCATCTGGTTTAGAAGTTATGATTTTTTCCTTAACTGCACTACAAACTATGCGTTTGCTTCAAAGTAACGCCACGTTCAGAAGCTTCAAAAAAATCAATAAAGCGTCTCTATTCAATGAAGCTGCGCCCACTTTTAGACATAGATTTTTTCTTGGTTGTGTAGAAACTTCAATTTACTATTCCTATGAGTTTGGGAGTTAGGATTTTTGGTTTAACTGCACTTYAAGTTATGTGGATCCTTGAAATTYACGTCAAGTTCAAAAGCTTCTAAAAATCAGCTGATGCTCGCATTTTAATAAACGTTTATCCAGTTTTAGACACAGCCTTCCTCTTCACTATGCCGAAATTTCAATTTGATATTCGAACTCGTTAGGGAGTTATGGTTTTTTATTTAACTGCCCTACAAACCATGCAATTTCATAAAATTTACGTCAAGTTTAAAAGCTGCGAAAAAATCAGTGGACGACCTTCAMTGACATTTCGTCAAATTTTATACCAAATTATCTCCTCGGTAGTTCCAAAACTTCAAGCTGCTATTCCAACTCATTCGAGAGTTATGATTTGCTGTGTATCTGCACTTGAAGTTACGCGGTTTCTTAAAACTAACGTCTACTTCAAAAACTTCTGAAAAATGAGTGGAGGATCGGCATTCAATAAAATTTCATTCGATTCAAGGAAAAACCTTCCTTTTTATCGTACCGAAGCTTCAAGTTGTTACTCCCTCTGGTTTGGAAGTTATGATTTTTTCCTTAACTTCACTAAAAACTATGCGTTTTCTTCAAAGTAACGCCACGTTCAAAAGCTTCAAAAAAATCAATAAAGCGTCTCCATTCAATGAAGCTTCGTTCAGTTTTCGACATAGATTTCCTCTTGGTTGTGAAGAAACTTCAATTTACTATTCCTGCGAGTTTGGGAGTTAGGATTCTTAGTTTAACTGCACTACAAGTTATGTGCATCCTTGAAATTCACGTCAAGTTCAAAAGCTTCTAAAAAATCAGCTGAAGTTCCGCTTTTAATGAACTCTTATGCAATATTAGGCACGATCTTTCGCTTCACTTTGCCGAAATTTCAATTTGATATTCGAACTCGTTAGGGAGTTATGTTTTTTTATTTAACTGCCCTACAAACTACGCAATTTCATGAAACTTACGTCAAGTTCATAAGCTGCGAAAAAATCAGTGCAGGACCGATATTCAATGAAATTTTGTCGAATTTTGGACCAAATTATCTGCTCGATAGTTCCAAAACTTCAAGTTGCTACTCCATACTACTCATTTGACTTGAAAGTTCACAGGGCTTAGGTCTGGATTCTTCTTCAATTTGGACAAAAGTGAAATAATTTGCATTGAATTGAATGGGAGATTTTTAATTTACAGGTTCTGTAATATTCTTATTCTCTCGTTCTGTTTATTTCTCATATAAACTAATAAATAAGAAATGAAGAGCGAAAACATTGAAATGTGGACCAATTGTTGGATTTAAAAACGACAGTACGGGCTACAAGGAAAATGAGTAGAATTGGGATTCAGTTGCTCCAAGTTGTTTTATTTTTTGTAACATTACTGGTTGAGCAAATGGATCAAAAACTGTTCAAGAAACCCAAAGAGCGCCAGCGTTAAAAGACTAAAATAAATAAAAATGAAGAAACTGTACCAAAAATCAACATCTAGAGTTGTAGCCAGAAAACAGCGAAAACACGGTTTGCATTACAGAACCCCTGTGGTCAACTAAAAAAAATGTGAAAAATTCGAATATACAAAGAGGCAGAAAGAAGTCAACTAAATATCGATGATTGGATCTTTTAAACGTGCTTATTGGGGGTAATCGTTGGGCATCATCGCCAATGGAATGCGTCCGTTTCCTTACAAGAAACCGTTTAATCTGGATCGTACGGAAAACTAACCGAACAGGCTGTTTCTACATCTCGACTTCGATGACCAAGGTGCGGCTACTTTCCGGAAATCCTACTCAAGGTCATCAGCGTTACTGCGCTACTTCTAGACCTTCTATATGAAGCAACCGTTGTACTTATTTTTTTCCTATTTATTGCCTTGCTAAGCCATTTAGCGGACATCTATGGAACGTGGACAGTAAGGGAACATCAGCCCCTCGCGTGCGCGTTTGGAACACGCTTATTTTATAAAATTTCCCCGCGCCAGCAACTTTTCTTAATGCAGTTTTTCGCTAAAATGCGGTTGTCGACCAGTTTTTACCCATCATGGTTCGCACTCATGGTGCACGGGCAGAATCCATCATTTACAACTGTTGCCAAACTTTTATCGAAGAAAAGTAGTRAATTTCAGYGAGTAAAAWWTTGCCCAAAAACACCACCAMAGTGGTTGGTACAGGGGTTCTCTATAAGCTGAGCACCTTGTTAACGCACCCGTGAATCMGAAAATAAAAAGATAAAGGAAATAAAAGAAAATGTTGAAAAATCACYGTTTTATGCGTTTGTAAGAATTCTGGCCGAGAGCGCAAACATGTTAGGTTCAGGTCAACTGTATGGTAAGATTTAGACATAGCGGATGATGGTTACAACACACATATTTCAAGCACGTGTCTCGAAAAAATGGACAATTCTATTTGTTTTGTGGTTTACGGACAAGCGGACTTTGATGCTTTAGAACCTGCCGAGCCATACGGATATTGGCTAATTAAATACCAAAATGCATAAAACATACAATGTGCACTTAAGCAAACAGCAACGGGTACCCGTCCCCACATGGGTAATTTGCTAAATACTCTACTCGTGTAGTTTTTTTAAGTATTCGGCTTTCCAGTTTACAACCAGCACAAATCAAATCTTAGACTTTAAATGGCTAATTTGTGAATCTATGGATTACTGAAAAATTGACTTTAAACGAACTGGTAGAGGTGCTTGGCCTTGCTTTAAAAAATAAAAACCTTGTTGGCCAGTTCAAGTTATCGCATTTTACATGATCTTCACATATTTTCTCACTTTATTCAATGGCACGTTTGCTTTGAAAACTCTCAGGAAAACTCATTGCTAAAGACCAAAGATTCAGGGCTCCGTATAATAATTATAGGTAAAAATCGTAACTCGATGTTTTAATTAGCAAATGAAATTCTCTAATATGCTCTTAGGTACATGTCGCAACACTTTGCCTGATGGAAAATGGCAGAACAATCCTTTTAACCATCACAGATCTTGAGGCCAAATCTAAAACGAGACAATACCTCTTTTGCGGTTGCTCATATCATGCCAAATGGAGCAAAATAATTTGAGTGCATCGCATATAATCAGACCCCCACATTTGTGCATTCATGCTTTTGTGTTCGCTTTGAATAAGACGCACGAACACGAACTTTGCCATATGGGAATGATTACTCAAGCACCGTGAATATCTAGTTTCCTTATTTAAAAATTTTCTATTTCCACACGGGCTAGTAAAGTGTCGTGTTTCCAATCTCCAATAGTGCTGAAAAAATGACAAAAAGACCCAGAAAAACAGTCTGAGTGAACATGCCAAAGCATCGGGGGCCTGAAAGATGATACTCGAACGACAATGTCACTTCAAAGACGGCCGAGGAACCAAAATATTTAAACCGTATTGGGAACACATGTGGATTTTGTCCCCAACTGGGTCTTTGAAAACATGCTTAATGACTATTGAGTGACATGGGCGCTAACGATATAACAACACCGGATTTATAGGTTTAATCGCATTTTATATGATCTTCTTCAAATATTTTCTCGCTTTATTCAATGGCACGTTTGCTTTGAAAACTCTCAGGAAGCATTGCTGTTTGATAACAACAGCGATGTTGAGCAATTGGGCAATAAAAATGAGTAAACGCTTTATTATGCAAAAGTCTCAAATTCGCCACTTAAAAGATTGAAGAAGTTACATCATTGCAAACCCGAGAGGCGGAAGTGTCCACACAATACGGAACAATATGGCACACACTTCGGCGATCGCATGTTCCACTTTTCACGTTCTGAAGAAAATAATTATTCCACAAGGTAATCGAGTAAAGATCGAGTGCTAATTAAGCTTCTTGTTGCACCCTATTGTTTTGATTAGTTGCTCAACACTCGCTTTGATGCTTTTCTACTAATCAACTGGGTTACTGAGTCGCCAGGTTTGAGTAGAAGGTAATTCAACAGACAAAAAGTGCTACTTTGCGTCCAGGTGGTCAGATTTTCATAAACCAGATGTTCAAGTTTCAGCTGTCGATGACCCGCTTTTTTAATTACATTGTTAACTAATAATCATGGGCATTAATTCCTTTGGGTCAAAATCCTAGGCCAATTTTCTTCAGCGGGATGATGCAATTTCGACCTTTCAGTGAAGATCCTGCCAGTAACATTTGCAGATAATCGCAGTGTTGCTTATGCAAGCCTCAGCTTCAGCTTATGTAAGTGCGATAATAATCGGAATTTTTCAGTAAATTCTGCGATTAATTTCCGGCCTAAATCGCCGCCGACAGAATCGGGTAGCTTCTTTTAGGCTGATTACAAGAATTACGTAAAGAGGGAAAGTGGCACACTGCCCGTATTGGATAATGTGCTCCAATGAACTTAAGTCACAATCCGATTTAATCAGTGTTGTTTGGTTTACTCGCTTTTGACTGATATACTTTGAATTTTCCTCTTTTATCTTGTTTGGTGTTTTCACTTTTGTTTAGTGTTGCAGCGCAACACCTCACAACATACTAAAACAAGTAAAGAAAACTAACGAAAAAAATTAAAAGAGCATCAAAGACTAAAAAGATGCACATGAAAGAAGCACTCATTAGTTAATGGTGACTAAAATGGATGATGAAGACAATAAAAAAAATAGAGGATAATTCTAGAAAATCAATTGAACGCTCCGCCACTTTCCAATGAAGAAATCATCAGGCAGGCAGCCTTCCGATATGACTGATTGAAAAAATGAAAATTGCTGACGTAATGGTTGAAAACAATCTAGGAAAATTGTTTCAGTATCTGCAGTTACTCATTGCTTCGCATCTGCGGATGATTTATCTCGCAGTAAGATAAAAAGCCTTAGAAAATCCAAGCCCAAAGCAGCAACAGACCAGTAGATTATGGTCAAAATGCACTTTTACGCCCAGACCGAAACAGCTTTTTTACATATCGGGCTTCTTCGGGAAGTCAACTCAAGAGGCATATGGGAAGAAGCTGGAAAAAATCGCTGGTTTCCAGATGTTGGGTAAAATATTATAGCGGTCGCTACCGGTACTTCATACGAACGGGCCCTACCCAGAAATCGTCATATCTTCGCGGTATTCCCACATCAACAACAACTCGACTTGTTGCAGATTCCGTGAACCTACTTATTAAACTTAAACATATTTCCAAGACGATAAGTACTTCCGTACATGGGCGGCGATGGCGGATTTAATTTGCTCGAAACATCCCCTTAAAAATACCTTCGAAGTAGTCTAAATTGCCAGCACAACGAGCATGGTGTAGAAGAAGAAACACTGATAAAAATCTTCGGGTAAGTGATTGCATATCATGTCAGTGGTGAAGAAATTGAAGAACTTTCTTCGGCGCTGCTGGCCCAAGCCAATCAAACCCGGTTTGCACTTTTCATCAATTAAAACAATTCGCAAAAAGGCGAGCTACTTGTCAAAATGCCATGAGTTGCGTCTTTAAATCATACAAGTAAATTACGAAGCGAGAATTAATTAGATGCTGACCACTAATAAGAAACGCCTTCTCCTAAGAGGAATTGGCTGAAGTGTGGGAATGGTATTTACGTAACTATTCGCGCAAGATTTTCTTAAAAATCAACAAAAACCCGTAGAAAACACTGGTTCTGTCACTGGATTTTAACGATCGGCAAAAAACCTTTTTAAATTCAGGCTGCAACTGTTTAGTTATTGTTATTGCAAAAACAAGCATATGTGTTGTGTCTTACAATAATTCCCCTGTATGACTTGATTTAATAACGCTGACGGGGGACATTACCTGAATACGAAACTAGTGTTTAATGGTTTGGCCGAGCTCGAACACTTAACTGTTAAATACCGAACCGAACGACAAATTTCAATAATCAAAGCTATTTTAGTGGCAGTAAATCCACGATTTCGTGGGCATTCTACAGGATGTCTGTTGAGAATTCAGGACAAGTCGAAAGGATAATTGTTGCCTAACACAGTTTTAGCCAAAACCTTCCACTTGTTCGTGCCGAAACTTCAAGTTGCTACTCTAACCGGTTTGGGAGTTATAATTTTTTGTTTAACGCGCCACTACAAGCTACGCAGTTTCTGGAAATTATCAAGTTCAAAAACTTCTGAAAAATTACCTGATGTTTAGCTCTTACTGGCATTTGATACAGTTTTAGACAAACTGTTTCTCTTGACCGTGTCGAAATTTCATTTTGCTATTCTAGCTGAGAGGGGAGTTATGGTGTTTTCTTAGTTGAGTGCCAGGTTTTGCAGTTATTTAAATTTAACGTCAAGTTTAAAAGATTTGCAAAAATCAGTGCCGGATCGCCATTCAACGACATTTTGTCTCTTTTTTGACAAAACCTTTCTCTTGATCGTGCCGAAATGCGAATGTGCTTTTCCAACTGGTTTGGAAGTTACGATTTTTTGTTTGCTGCCACTACAAGCTACGCGGTTTCTCTAAATTTACGTCAAGTTCAAAACCTTCTGAGAAGTCAGCTGATGTTGCGCTTTTAATGAACTTTTTTCTAGTGTTAGACAAAACCTTCCTCTCGACCTTGTCGAAATTTCAATTTGATATTCGAACTGGTTAGGGAGTTATGATTTTTTGTTTAACTAGACGATATGTTTGCGGTTTTTTAAGTTAACGTTAAATTAAAAAATGTCTAGAAAATCAGTCGAGGATCACCATTCAATAAGAAGTTTTGTTGAGTTTCAGACAAAAACGTTCTTCATGATTGTGCCTAAAATATAAGTGGCAACTCCAACTGGTTTGGGAGTTATGATTGTTTGTTTAACTGCACTACATCCCATGCGGATTCATAAAATTCACCGTCAAGTTTAGGAGCTTGTTGAAACTCAATGGAGCATCGCCATTCAATAAAATTTCACGCGATTTTAGACAAAACCGAAGCCGAAGCTTTAAGTTGCTACTCCGACTGGTTTGGAAGTTATGTTTTTTTCCTTACCTGCGCTACAAATCATGCGTTTTTTTTTAAATTAACGTCAAGTTCAAAAGCTTCAGAGAAATCAATGAAGCATCTCCATTCAATGAAGCTTTGGTCAGATTTAGACAAAGGTTTCTTCATAGTTGTGTCGAAACATCAATTTATTATTCCAACGAGTTAGGGAGTTAGGGTTTTTGGTTTAACTGCACTACAAGTTATGTGCTTCTTTGAAATTCATGTCAAGTTCAAAAGCTTCTAAAAATCAGCTGAAGTTCCGCTTTTAATGAAATTTTATCCAATATTAAGCAAGATCTTCCTCTTCACTCTGTCGAAATTTTAGTTTAATATTCGAACTGGTTAGGGAGTTATGCTGCCCTACAAACCACGTAATTTCTTGAAATTTACGTTAAGTTCAAAAGCTGCGAAAAAATCAGTGGAGGACCGATATTCAAAGACATTTCGTCGAATTTTAGACCAAATTATCTCCTCAATAGTTCCAAAACTTCAAGTTGCTACTCTAACTCATTCGACAGTTATGATTTTTTGCTTAACTGCACTTGAAGCTATGCGGTTTCTTAAAACTAACGTCCATTTCAAAAACTTCTGGAAAATGAGTGGCGGATTGGCATTCATTAAAATTTCATTCGATTTACGCAAGAACCTTCCTTTCCATCGTGCTGAAGCTTCAAGTTGTTACTCCATCTGGTTTGGAAGTTATGATTTTTTCTTTAACTGCACAACAAACTATGCGTTGTCTTCAAAGTAACGTCACGTTCAGAAGCTTCAAAAAGTCAATAAAGCATCTCCATTCAATGAAGCTTCGTCCAGTTTTAGACATAGATTTTCTTGGTTGTGTCGAAACTTAAACTTACTATTCCAACGAGTTTGGGAGTTAGGATTTTTGGTTTAACTGCACTACAAGTTATGTGCATCCTTGAAATTTACGTCAAGTTCAAAAGCTTCTAAAAAATCAGCTGAAGTTTCGCTTTTAATGAACTCTTATCCAATATTAGGCAAGATCTTCCTCTTCCCTTTGTCGACATGTCAGTTTCGTATTCGAAGTGGTTAGGGAGTTATGATTTTTTATTGAACTGTACTATAAACCACGCAATTTCTTGAAATTTACGTCAAGTTCAAAATCTGCGAAAAACTCAGTGCAGGATTGATTTTCGATGAAATTTGGTCGAATTTTGGTCAAAATTATCTCCTCCATCGCTCCAAAACTTCAAGTTGCTACTCCAACTCATTCGAGTTTAATTGCACTACAAGTTATGCGGTTTCTTAAAACTAACGTCCACTTCAAAAATCCTGAAAAATGAGTGGAGGATCGGCATTCAATAAAGTTTCATTCGATTTAAGGAAAAACCTTCCTTTTTATCTTGCCGAAACTTCAAGTTGTTACTCCATCTGGTTTGGAAGTTATTATTTTTTCCTTAACTGCACTTCAAATTAGGCGTTTTCTTGCAAGAAACGACACGTTGAAAAGGTTCAAAAAACTTAATAAAGCATCTCCATCCAATAAAGCTTCCTCCAGTCTTAGTCCAAGCTTTCTTCTTGATCGTACCGAAAGCCACTACAGTCTACAACTCAAACAAACCGCAACTCACCCAAACGAACCCGAAACTGTCCCAAACTATCCAAGTTGCAACAGGACAATTATGTATGAATTAATTCACATTTGTAATTTTTTGTCTGCCTAAAAACAATGATGAATCAGAATACAAATCTCTTTAAAGTGATAAAACCGCAGCTGACCAGATCCGCTTAATGATGTTAACAATCTGCCTCAGCCCTTTCATTAGCTGCCAATAAATTTGAAATTTAAATGCTCGAAAGATCCAATGAGGAAGAACAGCTGAAAATTTTCACGAAAAACCATACTACACACGATCATTAACCACGCCCAATTGTCCAGGTGTAATATGCGGGTAAAAAACAACACAAGCCAAATAGATAATACCTTTGAAGCCCGATGATACCATCTTCAGTTTTAGTGAAGGTTTAGTGGTTAAAACGTCATCATCGGGTGCCTGAACTAATCAATAGCCTCCAAATGTATCAATTTGCTTCCATTGAGGGCGATTTTCTGCTGAAAGCCTCTTCCAGTTCTCAAGATTTTTACGTCGACAAATGTCTTGCAAGTGGAGTGCCCCAAGAGGAGAATTTCAAAAGAACTTTGAGGGAAAAAAACGGTTATCCGCACGTGCCTCATAGTGAAAAATCGCCTCAAATTGTCGCTAAGAGAAATGCCCGTGAGCGAAGACGCGTTCAAGCTGTTAACAACGCTTTTGTGAAGTTGAGGAATGTTATTCCTATCCAAAACACCAGGTTTGTAATGAATGCGATTGTTGGTGGTTTCGTAAAAAAATGCATTTTGCACGAATTTTTGAAGGGGGAAGAGAATCAGTAAGGTTAAGACGTTGTTATACGCCATTGATTATATCCGCGCTCTGGACGACATGCTACACGATCTGGCTTCTTATAATATGGTACAATTCTTATTTATTGTCGAAGATTTTTTAAACATTTTATCAATTACATCATTGCAGATTTACTGCGAGTTGCCGGAAGGGGAGATTCGTCAAGCAGCTAATTGGGTTTAACTAAAAATGGTAGACGAATTCCGAAGATGGCAATTAACGCAAACGTTCAACTACTAAAAATATTGGGGAAGTAAGATGCAAACACCCTTGAGCGATCTTAACGGATTCTTCTGATTTTCCAGTTTTCACCATATTTTCAGTCAAATCATTCTAGTCATGCTTTAGTTTTAGCCCTCAGTTTAGCTAAGGTTATAATTGAATTATTTTGTACTTAAAAAATATACATCAGAGTAAAAACTACAAACTTTTTTATTTTGAGTATTCGGCTTCAACGTTCAGGGAAGTTTCCTTCCACGTAACGAATATGTGTGTTTTCTCGCCAACGAAAAGAGCAAAGTTACTTTTGAGATCAAAATCGTAATTTTTGTGTCTTGTGCTTATACTTCACTTCACTTCCTTTCGCTTCGGAAATTTAAACTTTTTTACCAGATTGGTCCACGAAACGAAAATGTATGTTTTCTCGCTAACGAAAAGGGCAAATTAAGTTTTGAGTTCAAAATCGTAATTTACATTCAATGTGAGACAGTTTTCTGCTTATACGTCTGGTCACTTTTTTTCACCTTTCGCTTCGGAAATTTAAACTTTTTTACCAGATTGGTCCACGATACGAAAATGTGTGTTTTCTCGCCAACGAAAAGAACAAAGTCACTTTTGAGCTGAAAATCACAATTTTTAATCAACCTGAGACGGTTTTGTGCTTATACGTCTGGTCACTTCCTTTCGCTTCGGAAATTTAAGAAAATCCCTTATGTCCTCAACTTTTTTATTGGCTTGATAAGGGAAAAAACTATTTTCTTGGTGTTTCGATAGCGATTCTGCATTTTTCTAACTGAATGAGGGGGAGATTAATGCATAAAAATTATTCCAAAGAAACGACAAATCCAAAAGCTAGTTTGGGTTAATTTGGGTTAGTGTCTCAATGAAAATACAGGGTGATTCAAAATTATCGTTATTCCTTTTAAGGGGTAATTAGGGGCTCACTTGGAAAGTACGAGAAAAATAGTGAAATTTTTTTTTCGACAATTTCTAGAAGATATTAACAGTTGAAAATCGAACTTCAACTTTGTTATTAAGCATTATTTTGAAAGTGTTCCATGTTTAATTGGAAGCATATTGGAATACTTAAGCATTAACTTAAGCATAAGAAAAATGATGATCTTTGCTTCAAATTACGAATAATTTTTTTTACTATTTTTTCTGTACATCTAAATCATCGCCAGACAACACCTCCAGAGGAATGACGCCAATTTTGAATCACCCTGTATGAAATGTTTGACAAACAAAAAACTACTTTATACATTTTTCGAGATCTTAAAGGCAAATTACTTACTTACAACAATAAAATGTAGAAAATTGCATGATTCCTTACTGTTAATAAGTAAGGAAAACCCGATGATCGTCCGCCCAACCCACTTTACGAAAACTTCCCAAGACAATGCCCAAATGCGTCCATCAAAATGCTGAAGAAGTCATTTCCTGTCTTGTCTTCGTATATACTTGCGTGCATGACATATTGGTGGTATGCAGAGGAATTCGCCGATGCTATCAACAATGATATTCTTGCCTTATAACGTTATATCTTATTTTTACGTGATGCCATAAAGTGCAAACAACCTTTCAGTGAATACTTCGCATGTTAATTGTCGAGTTCTCGGCTCTGGAAGCACTCACAAAACACTTTGAACTTCAAAACAGTTGAAAATATAATTTTAATTACTGATTAAGGCAGAAGAAGCAAAAATTGCAAGTGGAACCAATTGTGGGATGAAGAATCAAATACGATACTTGGAGGAAGTTTCAAAGTACCAAAGACATAAAATAAGTAAAAAACAGTGACTTAACAATTCTAAAAAAAGCTGAACAATCAGCTGAAAAGAATCTAAATAATACACACCAAAAGCTTGCCTAGCCCTTCAGATGCTAGTTAAGCGTGTTAGCGAAACGTCTGGAGCAACACTTTTGGTGTGGATTATTTTGAGCTGATTGTTCAGCTTTTCTTTTAAATCTGTACCTGATACCCATGAAAATCAATTGAACCTGCCAGAGTTATAAGGTTACTGGAATGGCAACCAATCCCAAGACTTTAATGTACCATTTAATGATCTAAAATGAGGAAAATACGAAGAACACCAAGAGCGATCAGACAGGAAGTTGAAGAAACGCAAATGCGGTTACAAAAAAGGATGCTGCTGTACCGAACCGGTCTTATTAAAGAGGTTTCTTTCAAACAGGTGAACGGATATGGCAGGTTTTAAAGGAAATTAACGTGCTGGCTAGTTATTTGGTCGTTTTGTTTTAATTCTGCTTCATTTGAAATTATATATCATTAGGACCCGATTTTTCCTATGCTGGCTGGAATTGAATGTGTTTGATTTGTAGCTGTTTGCCCAACTATTATCGGACCAGGTACTGAAAGACATGGCTTGAAATTGGTAGGTGGAGGAGGAAGGACACAAAGGAAAATACCATCACGAATGAAAGGACATTTGTCCGCTACATCAAGGACGTGGACACAATCTATTATTACTGTTTCTTCACGGAATTATTTAAAATTCTACTTGATAGTGCCATGTGGGGATTATTTATTACTAGCAACGTGCAAAGCCCAATTCGTCGAATATACTAATATCGATGTGATAAAATGTTATGAATTTACGTGAGTTTTTTTATTAATTGGTCATGCTCACTTTTGAAACATGCTACTCAAAAAAAATCGTAATTTGAGAAAAAACTCAAAAATCGCCAACCTGGCCCCAATTTGTAAGGCAATTTTTTAGGCTTCATTTTCGCAAGACTTTGTAATCGTCCGAATGCTGATATTCGTTAAATGTCTGAAATTCCTTGATTTTCAACTCTGTATTTAGAATCTCTATGTCAATCATTGGGTAAGCTTTGGCAAAGCTGCGGAATTTCAATGAATGGGAATGTTTGTCGATAGGTTTCACCATTTTCCTTTAAAAATAGTTTTGAGCCACATCCACCCAGATCAGATTATCTGAGGTATTTTGTAAATATCTGCACATTTCAATTCTTCTGCATACAGGGTGTTTCTTGGTCCTGTTTCACGTAGAGATGTTAATTTTACACTCATAAGAGTACGAAAAAAATAATATGCACTTTTATTTTTATAATTGTGAAAGATTAGGTGCATTAGATCTAGGAAATTTTTGATATTAAAAAAGTGCTCTTCTACAATTTTTTAAGGAAGTGCTACATTCCTACCATGTATGTAAGATCACATTAAACCAATGAATTACTGCACACCGGTACAAACTGAGTAGGGGTTAATTAACCCAATACGAGAAGTTGCTCGAGACGAGTTCACAATAATCACACAGGCACTAACTTGTTTGGAGTTAAAAACAGAAATGTTATGTTTATCTCTTTGAATATAAAACTAACTTAGATTTATATTCAAAGGTTTATCTATATACGCATCAATTCGAGGTTATGACGACAATAAAGAACAATTTCTCGTTAACAATTCGGCATTTGAAAAAAAGAAAATCCGACATTTAACGAATCCTGTTGAATTTACCGTTTATCCTTTTCTATTTTATTGTCACTTTCTCTATTCCTCCATAGTTACCGGAGTTTTTAATAATTACGAAGCAACAGGATTTCACATAAAATATACCTTGAAATACATTGTTCTGATATAGTTTTTTGCAAATTTCTCAGTTTTTAATAACAATAAAAAAATTTTACTTAACTTTTAGTTCAAAGTGTTCAGAGTCGTCATCTAGTGGCCACACTCAGTTACCATTCTATTAGGAATGTTTTGTAGTTATCTGTGGTTCAGAATTAACCTCAAAACATGCTGAAAACCTCAAAGTGTTTTTGTTTATGTGAACATAAATTATTAATAATATATAGTTGCCTCTGAAGATATTTTATAATCATAGCGTTGTTTTCTCTATTCAGTCAATATGTCTTTGTTTCGTCAAAAAGTTATAAACTCCATTTTAACAGACCGATTTGGGCCTGTAGTAGCAAAAGTGGGCACTTTTCTGCTGCAAAATGAAACTAATCCTTTTCTGTTTATTAAAAGGGGCACCGACCTAACAGTCTCACTGGTAAGGAGTTTTTAACATTTTTTCTTTAGTTATTGAAATAGTCAATTTCAAACGATTGGTTATGGAAGCTGTTTTCGTTATTGTGGATGCAATTTGGTTTTCCAGGTGAAAGACTCATTGTGTATTTTAATTAAATATGGCCTAGTCACGTTCAAACCGAATAAAAATGAGAAATTGGCCAATTACTCTATCAACTCCGACAACGTGCTTCTTATGCTGAGGTATCCGAAATATTTGCACCATATCAAGAAGCTATTTGGGGATGAGTCCGAAATGATAATAGAAGAAATCTTGCAAAGAGGCAATAAATCACCTTGTCCATTTTCGCAAGAAACTTTATAATGCTTTCATAGGTTATTGGACCGGCTCAGAAGTAATCTTGAAAGTAAACCAAAGACGACCCCAGATCAAGTCTAGATCGCAGCCACTTTCCGATATAAAGGAGAACTTGTGCTGCTTGATTACAGCCAAATATCTTCAAAGAGTGCCTTATTCAGTCGAAGATGCGGCCGTTCCTAGCTTGATTATGTCCGAAGACTGCGCTTCTGACTTAAACAAGATTGATATCAAGCTCCTCATAAGCCACCAGAAGGACAAATCTGTACAACTATCAGGTTAGATTGCGCAAGGCCCCAAAACCACGTTCACAGTTGTTGTATTTTAGATCAAAATATTTACTGGACCGTTAATTTCGATAGGTTTCATCAGGATATGAGAGATGAAATCGTTGTAAAGGCTTTTACAAAGAAGTTTGGTGAAAATGCTGGCAGCATTATCAAGCAAGTGATGTGTGTTATTTTAAAACCAGCAAGGTGTTAATGGTTGTTTTCAGATTATTCCTGCGGCAAATGTATATAAGAACAAACCCATGGGCTGAAGTCTGTAATCCTGTCCCAGCCCTGGAAATTAAAGACATTTTGAAGAAACAGGCTAGTCAATCGTTGGCTTTGGCCTTCTTTGACCAGTACCTCAGCACAATGGGTATTAAATTTGTTATACAAGCTTCGTGAAGAAGTTAGCAGTGTTTTTTCTTTCAAGAACAAGACAACAGCAACTTGCTCAGAAAGGCTGGAGAAGCCAGTGGGGGTTCGTATCAGCTCTACTTAAAAGAAGCCTTTACTCAATTTACGTGGGAGTTGGTGGAACATATTGTCCTGGAAAAGCACGACTCGAAAGCTGCAAGGATATTTAGGTGGGTGGATTTATTTGGATGGACTCACACTGTGGGTGATTTGTGCACTTTTCAGATTGGTAAAATCGCAGCCCTATATCGAACCCGACCAAATCCAGCAGCTCGCCATGATACCGGCAAAAGAAGCGAAAAGGCTCTCCTATCGTTTATATGAGGATAAGTTTCTGCATATTCAAGTAAGCGACCAATTAAAAAATAACAGGCGCAGTCTGAGCATGTAGTTTTTCTAACAGGAATTAAAGAAGGCGAGTTCAAATAATGGTCCTGTGAAAAACTATACACTTTTCCATATACATTTGGAGAGTGTGGCTAGTATGCTGCTGGAAATGTGCTATAAAACGTTGTACAATCACATTAGTAGAAGGCACTTTGAAAAGCAACAAAGCAAGCGAATTATTGACAAAAAGCACAGGGTAGACACTATTCTGATGGGGATGCAAGCTCAGGGGGCTGCAGAAGAACAATTATCGGATGTAAGAAATTACTTAACACCAACTAATTCATTTTGTATTTGTATTTTTTTCTTTCGTGCCATTTGAATCAAGCATTAATTTTTTTAGATTGAAGAGTTGCTTACTCCCTCAGAGGAGGAAGTTCTTAAGAAAATAGACAGAGTGATGAAGAAACTGAATATAGTTGAGCTGGAAGTAGATGATACAATTTTCATGCTAAACATGTACTTAATTTATGTAAGTTAGTAGTTAAAAAATAAATATTTCTAAACAGCCTGTTTTTTTAAACCCTTATCTTTACTTACAGGGCGTTTAAAGTGAAAATCCCTAAAATCCTTTCGTTTCTTCAAAATAAAGAAACGTGATACGTTTTTTTATTGACCAGTATTTTTCTGCTAAGAGTATCCTGTTGAAAAATCTGACAATGACAATAAAGAAAATTAATACTACTCTCTAAGCTTTGCCCTTTGTCCTTTTCTTTCTTTTTTTTAATTTTACTTATTTTCTATTATTTTATTTTCTTATTTATTTTAGGAGCATGCGGTGTTCCAATCTAACATATTAGTTAACCAAACCCAAATCTGACTATCTTTTTCCATTAAAAACATTTTTTTCTCCCTTTTTCGAGTTTTAAAAAATTACTGTATGATGTAACACAAGTATCCGGCAAAACCCACACTACTTTCAATGTCAAAAATCCGTCATAAAGGCAAGTTTTTGACTGGTCTTTATCTATGTTTGACATTAGAGCAGTCACGTGACGCGATCGACATTGGGACAGCTTTGAGGCCACGAGGTTTTGGTTTCTCAAAAAACTTTTATTTGCCGGTTGTAAAACTGAAGTTTTGTGAAAAATTACGATGCCCTCGAGTAAATCGTTGCCGCCAAAAGAGAATGCCCTGTTTAAGCGAATATTGGTTAGTGCTAATCGGCTTAATAGCGACGCAAAGTCAAGACTGGAATTTACTGCAAAACTTCGAACCTTTCCCCATTTTGGGCCCCTTATTTTTCACACTTTGAGGAGCCTCAGGGCGCCAGTGTGGTCAAGTAACCGAAAGCCCTTTGGCTCATTGTTCAGAGTAGTACAATTCTATTTTTGTCTTTCCTGTTTGTCAAAGTATTTTTGTATATACACATACAGAGTCTTAGGGCCACTGTGTTCTACCATAACTTTTAAATGTTTTAGAAAAGCTACGAACAGAAACAATACAAGAATGGCCTTAAGTTTGCCAAGCAAATATTGTCAAATCCAAAGTTTCAGGAACATGGAGGTTAGTATGGATTTGTAGCCTCAATTAAGCCCAATTGGTCTTCCCGCAGGGTATCTCGCGTTATATGTTCTAAGCCCTGATAAATGTACTGTCTATTTTCTTATATAGATGCCCCTTTAATCCGTTAGACGCTGTATATTCATTTCCTGTAATTAACCCCTTCGCAGAAAACTTAAGGAAATCGTGAATCTGTTTTAGAAACCTTGGCGATGAAAGGCTTAACTCTAAACTGTCTGGGTCGTAAAGAAGAAGCTTATGAGCATGTGAGACGCGGTCTTAGAAACGACTTGAAATCGCATGTATGTTGGCATGTTTATGGACTCTTACAAAGGTAGATTGCAACAGATTTTTAAACCGAGGATTTGGCCTTTACATGCAATACATTTTTCTTGTTAGGTCGGATAAGAAATACGATGAAGCCATTAAATGTTACCGAAATGCACTTAAGTGGGATAAAAATAACATTCAAATTCTACGGGATCTGTCGTTGCTGCAGATTCAAATGCGCGACCTGGAAGGATACAGAGTAAATCTATAAGCTCGTTAATCCTCATTTCACTTAGTTTGGTTCTTTTAGGATACTAGGTATCAGCTACTTATGCTCAGACCAACACAACGCGCTTCCTGGATTGGGTACGCCATGTCTTTCCATCTGTTGGTAGATTATAAGAATGCCTTAAGTATACTGGATACTTTTTTGGACCAGCAGCAAGTGAGTTTGTTATTGTGTATTTTATGAGAATGGTTTAAATCGAAGGTCCTAAACCATCATCACTCTGTTTAGTGTTTTAAATAAAAAAAAACGTTCAAGGAAGGAAATTATAACCGGCGGAGTTATTTTGCATCTAGAAATTTAAAAGGCGTAAATTGGCGCTATAATCAATAAAAAAAATATTTAAATCTGCCAAGTCAAGTTAATATAATATAAGTAGCAGACGTTTGAGTTTTAAGTGATTCATCCGAACCAATTGGTTTGTTTCTGAAGGTGATGGCTCAACAGTGAACATCTCGATTTGTTGTAGCGTCTCAATAATTTCGACTACGAGCATAGTGAAGTTCTACTGTACCAAAACATGGTAATCCAAGAGTCTGGCGATCTGAAGCAGGCACTTAAACATCTCAAAACCTTCTCGTATCAAATCGTCGACAAGCTCACATATAAAGAGAATATCGGTGATTTGCATTTGCGGTTGGCCGATTGGAAGGAAGCAGAGGAAATCTATGAGGAACTGATTGACAGAAACCCGGAAAATACACTGTATTATAAGAAACTGATTGAGGCAAAGCGACTGACTTCGGAAAGTGATATTATTGACTTTTATGGAAAATATGCTGAAAAATTCCCTAGGTCGATGCCTCCAAAAAGGTATGTCGCTGATTTTGAGGCTGCTCGCATTGACTTATTTATACTCATTGTTTCAGATTACCTCTAAACTATGCAACCGGTGAACAGTTTAGGGTGCTGGTTGATCAATACATGAGAAAAGCCTTGACAAAGGGGGTGCCTCCATTGTTTGTTGATCTGAGGAGTTTGTACAAAGACGGCCAAAAAGTCCAGATTATCGAAGAATTAGTTTTAGGTAAATCTGTGATGTTTTACAACCAACTGGCATTCAATATCAATTTTTTTCTTCAGGATATGTCCAATCTTTGGAGAAAGGAAATAAATACAGTGAAACCGAGTCTTCGAATGGGCCCAAAGAGCCCGCTAGCGCCATTTTGTGGACTTACTATTTTCTAGCTCAACATTACGATTATTTGAATCAAACCGAGAAAGCCTTAGCATATATTGAGACTGCCATCGAACATACGCCCACTTTAATTGAACTATTTGTTACTAAAGGCCGGATTTATAAGGTAACACCCTCCAAAGGCTAGTTTTTTTGCGAAAGAAAATGTAAACAAATTCTGTCTTCAGCATGCTGGTGATCCGGTAGAAGCATATCTATGCCTTGATGAGGCTCAAGCTATGGACACGGCAGATAGATATATTAATTCTAAATGTGCCAAGTACATGTTACGAGCCAATTTGTTAAAAGAGGTAAGAATTGAAGATTTCATTAGCACAATTGAAGCTAGAGCTTGTTTATTGCTTCAGGCTGAAGAAACGTGCGCAAAATTCACAAGGGAGGGTGTCTCAGCCATGGAGAACTTGAACGAGATGCAGTGCATGTGGTTCCAGACGGAATGCGCTCTTGCCTATCAGAGATTAGGCAAATATGGAGAGTCGCTTAAGAAGTGCCACGAAATTGATCGGGTAAGCTGGTTTTTAATGACTGGTTTTTAGGGGTTTGTTGGGATGGGAAATCGGTGTGTCCTGAGCAACACATTTGGAAGAACCATAATGTTCTTAACGGCTTTAAATGAAAAATTTGTCAACTTCCTAATCCGTACACATTTTTCCTTTCAGCATTTCGCCGAAATAATTGAGGACCAGTTCGATTTCCACACCTACTGCCTGCGTAAAATGACTCTGCGCTCGTACATGGGTCTTTTGAGATTGGAAGACGTCCTCCGAGGCCATCCCTTCTATTTCAAGGCGGCTAAGTGCGCTATAGAGGTGTACATTCACTTGTTCGATTCGCCTCTGAAGGACGAGAATGCCGAACAAAAATTAAACACAGGTGAGTTAATACAAATCATCAATACTGTTAATTTATTGAGCGGCTTGTTGCGAATTTGTGTTGAAAAGGTTTATTGCTATTTCAATCATTTTTGGTTGAGTCGGCCTGTGCCGATCTATGCCGAAATGTTATCAATTTAGCGGCGGTGAAATACCTTAGAACAGAGCGTTTTTTGGGTAGTTTGCCTTTAAAGGTCCAAATATTTACACAATTCGAAACGACGTGCATCTCCGATGATTCAACGACACTATGTTTATAGAAGTATATATTAATCGTCGATATGTCATTTTATATACTATCTATGTACAACGTAACGTGCTTCTTCATGAGCAAAAATATTTGCAAGCTTGCAAAAAAAATGAAATTCAAATAAATAACAGATGCTTAGCTGCACTTCTAGAATCAGTTATTAATTACTCTACAATTCAGTTGATCACAGATCAATTTTAGTTCGGCACACATGAAACCCGTTCCACTTTGTGTCCGTGTTTCACTTTCACTTTCACTTTAATTCTTCGATTTTTCCTCTTGTTGCGGTTTGTCCCGCCTCACGCGCGCGTCCCGTTCGTAAAAATATTGCCCTGCTTGCCTCCTCCTTTCAGCCGCCTGCGGAGTGAGGAAGTAGAAATGCGCGCCCTCATCCCCAGGCAGTTGATAGTGAATGTACTGTTCTTTCTTTCCCCTGCTTGCAATGGGCGGAGGAGTGATTTCAATCGCTTTAATAATTTCCGGATTTGAGCCCGAGTCAACTTGCGGCCGATTGTCGATTGGTTCACTTAGAGGATTAATCGGAGGACGCGGTTGGGCGTAGTTTACATTTAAGTCACTATGCAGTGAAATGGGGGGGTTGTAGTTGCCCTGCCTATACCTGGCCGGTCTAGGGGAGGTAGGCCTAGTGACTAGAGGTAGGGGCGTGGTAGTGCTGGCCAACTTCCTACCAAATATCGTGAAATATTGCTTGGTATTCTCGTCGAAATAGCCTTCATCCGGCTTCGTATAGAAGCCTTGATAGACTGGATTGGGGGTGCTTTCGTAGGAGTATTCAGCAATGGGCCGGGAGGGGGTCACCTGGACCGCGTCAGGAGCTACAGTAGGCCGTTGCTGTGGAGGCAGGTACCTCAAGCCGCTTTGCCCATAGCCGGAAGGCCGCTGAACTTCCTGCAGATACTGGCTTTGAGGCTTCGAGGCTTGAGGCTCATTGCTGTAATAACCAGGCTCCTCCACATTCAACGGCTGGATTTGCTGGTAGTTTGGACGTTGAGTTTGGACAATCTCGATGGCCGGTTGGATTTGCACGCTATACTTGGGGATTGGCTTAAAACCATCCTCGTTACTATCCATTAACTGCGAGGGCTTGAAGGCTTTGCCTCCCGGTCGGTTGTAGTTCTGCGCCTCAAAGCTGTATTGGTACACTGGCTTGGAGGTTGGCCGGTAAAGGCTGTCAGGAGTTGTAAAATATTGCTGACTCAGTTGGTTCTGTAGGTTGGCAATGTGAATGCTAAACGTGGTCTGAGGTTTGGGCCTGGGCTGGCTTTGGGGGATATAGCGGAATTTAGGTTTCTCCCTCTCATAAGGCCTGCCAGTTAGGTAGATGTATTGAGGTTTAACGGAGGGAGCTTTGCTGGGTCTTCTCGGCGTTGAGTAAAACTGATTCCAGCTGTCGTAGGCGGGATTTGGTTTCGCTTGCGGCGCTTCAGTGGTAATGGCATTCAAGGCTGGATCAGTTTCCTCGTAGTAGTAGAAGTTCGATTGGGGTTTTCTGGTGGTTTTGGAGAATTGGGGGTTTTTGCCTGCAAATTTCGGAAAATTAGATGCTGACTCGGTTAGTTTTTTTCTGGGTGTACCTATAGAGAACTGCTCTGCTCCGGGAGTTACTGCGTTTAGCTCGAGGTCGTTTGCTGTCGCCTGGTACCGCAAGGGCACTTGGGTGGTGCTGATGACTTCATCGGTGAATTTGGTCTGTTCCCACTCCCGCTGCCTGTCGAACGTCGGTCTTTGATTGGCGATATTCTTGTAGTTGTACGGGTTCCTGTTGAAATGCTTGTTAGGGTTCCTACTGGGTTCCAACTGGTGGGGCGGCGCCACTTCGTTTGGCTCAGCGTACGCTTTGGACGTGACTGTTTCCGGTTTAATCGGCTTGAGGATGGTCACTGAAGGTTTCCTAGCCGGCAGATACGTTCTATTCAACCTATCAACATGCACCGGTAGAATGCTGATAACTTTGGGCTTTCCAGTGGTTGAAGTGGTCTGGGATGGTTTTGTGGGGTGTCGGGAATGAGGCTTCCTCGGCATGGAAACGCGAACAGTGACTTTGCTGTAGTTTTTAATCACGGAGACTCTGGTGGGCACAGTGGTGATTGGTCGGCTGGTGCTGATTTCGTTATTCAGTGGCGGCTCATTGGTGGTGGTGGTGGTGAAAGTGGGGCGTGTTTGTGGAGGTCTTCTTGTGCTTGGTTTTGGTGGTTCTTCGAGTGGGGCGAAAAACTTGGGGGGCGGTGGCAAAATTATGCCTGGTACCAGTGGACCGGGTGGTACCTGCAAACGATGAAATGGGTTTGAAAAGCGGGCTTTTCCGGCTGAATTTACACGGCAAATGAGTTTGTCGTATGTTAGGAAAAGTACCTTATCTAAGGGGTTAGTGGGTAAGTTGAAGATGTTTTGTTAGTGCTTCTTGAAGTCGGCCAATGAAAGTGCCCTTTAGAAAAACCTACAATTGAAATAGTTTAGTAGTGGAAGTAGACTTGATGGTATTTAGGGAAGAAGTGGATTGTTGTGAACGTCCGTACTGAGGGGCTTACCAAGCTGGTGTTATCCTTGGGGTAGTAGAAACTGTAGGGCGGTGGATAGTATATCGATGGGTCGTCCTCGTCCAGGATTGTGTCGTTCCCTAGACAGTCATTGAATAAAGCAAATGCCTATTTTGCTGAACAAGAAACGCTTCACATTCAGGAGATTTTAGTTACGGATGATTGTGGATGCGGTCAGATACATGACTTACCTAGGGGGGCTGGGAGTATGGCTGCCCCAGGAGGTAAATGCGCGAAAGAAGGCGGAAAGCTGCCGTTCAAAAGGGTGGGGGGGAACGGCATCCCCCCTGCGGGTTCCCCCGAGGCAGGAACTCGCAACGTAACTTGCCCGGAAGCAGGGTCGGTCTGATCGGAATTGGCAGGACCTGGAATGTTGTGTTAGTTCTCAATCGGCTACTTGCCCATTTTGCAAGCGTTTTACTTGAATTGTTTAGGTCGTTTGATTCCTAATTTTCTTTGGGTTTTTTACAAGTAGCCAATTAAAGCGGTGGTTTAATTAGACACACAATTCGCGGTGGTAAGTAATGATTTTTCGTTGAATGGTGTTAGTTTTGCGTACAAAACAGTGGGGTTTCCACCAATGTTTACCTGTTTCCGGGAAATATTCGCCCTGTGGAGGGATTTCGCCGTCCCAACCGGGCGGGGGCGGTAGGGCGTAGGCCGGCGTTTCTGCTGAAGCATTAAGCGTTCGCGAAGAGTTTGTGCCCAGGATTTGAAGGGGGCCGTCGTCGCTGAGCTGGACAGGAAAGGGCGGCGGAACCGCCGGATTTTTGGGGATTTTTACCTAGATTTTCATCCAATATTATCAACAATGAAAAAGTAAAACGACCAAATAAACCACCTGATGCAATGGGGCACTGTAGTCGTCAATAGGCTGCCAAATCTGACTAATATAGTCCTGTTTGCTATCGTCATGAGGCGGATATGCGCCCCCTTTTATAACTAGGAGATGGTTTTCCGCCAACCAAATGTCGTTTTTCGTCAGGCCCCCCAATGTTGCAATGTTGTCTTTTGGTACCTTCAGAATGATTTGGCATTGTTTACCGCGTAGGATTTTACAAAAGGGGTTTGCTCACTTCAGAGTTTGGGGCGTAGCTAATGATTCCTGGTCGCTTCGGTTGCTTTTTGAACAGTTCCTTCTGGATCAGTCCATACTTTCCATCGGCCACTTGTTGCGATAGGGTTTTTCGCTCGTCTGCGTTACCTCCTTTTTTGCCTTTTACATTTTCGCCAGCACTAAGGAAACAAACCGCAAATTCTATTTATATAAGGTGTTGCAATATTGGGCGAAGGAAAACTAATTGGCTTCTAATTTAATTGCGGTTCTTGTCCGGTTCCAACTGTTTTAATACCTGGCAGTGATAAGTTCAGAATCATCTGGATCCGAGTCCAGAATTCGAAGATGACCGCCAGCTAGTCGGTGCAATTGTCGCTGTTCGTGGTGTCTTGTGCGAGCCAGTGGCGTAGGCGATGGTAAGGCCAAAAGAAATGGCAAAAACAGCCATAATGGCAGCAGGACAACGTAAGGCCATCGATGCCTATGTGGCATCTGCAACAAATTAAATTCCGCTTTATGTGATTGTTTAGCTAATTTCTCTTAAAATCCTAACAGTCAGCTGTCGGCAAGAAGTAAACCATCTGAAAATAATGGCTTTCACACTTTATGTTGGTAGTCATAACATGGATGGCTTTAATTCACGTTGGATTTTTCTAGTGATGATATTCAAATGCTCAATTTATGTGGAGTATTTTAAAGATACGTATCTCCATGCCATAAAAAATGGCTCGATCACGTTTCTCGGACTCGAGCTCGTTCGGCTTAATTTATGGGGCATTTCACTTTCGGTTTCATTTTTTTTCCGACCAGGAGTATTTCTTGCAAATTGGGCTTATTTGCCTTTGCGGGCTGCGCTCTTTTGGTACTGTGACTTTCAATGCATATATTACTACACAATGTATAGGGAAAGGCAATTGAAACGCTCAAACATACGTTGAAGGAATATTTTAGCTAAATTTTGCACTGCGATGTGAAAAATCCACTTAATCTGATGCAGATGAGCAAAATGTCAATTTGTTCGAACAATTTAGGTTGTTGGGTTGGTTCTGAATGGAATGTTCGAAGGAGGGCCGTTGGATGGATTTTTTCCCTCGACTGTGACATATCAGAGCTTCGGTATTTAAAACAGCCTTGTCTTAATATCATCGCTTGATATTATTACATTGTAGGCAAGTTTGCAGCGTTTTGGTGGGAATTCGCTTAAAGAGTATCCGAACGGAATTACCAAAGTGTCGAAATAGTGAACTTAAGTTCAGAGGAAATTATAGTATTCAGAGCTGGTTTTGTTCTAGCCACAGGCTTTGAACGTGTAATTACTGTTCTAAGGTTACAACGGTTTTCAAAGATCTGTTGCTTCTGGTTGGATATCAAACCAGATCAAATATTCTTGTTGAACAATGCCAACTTTTTTCTCATCTAGTTGGAGATTTTCTCAGAGGAATAATAGAAATCCTATTGTGCAAAATCCCGCCAGATTATGAACTATTACTTGTCAACACTGATTTTAATTTAGTGTTAATTTCTTAATTACACGGTTCCAGTGAATTTTTCTTAGTCTCATTATTAAGAAAGATTCTCGACACAGATCTGAATAAATTAATTAAAGTGGTTTTTATTAGTGAGCGCTTTTCAACAGTTTCATTGGAAACATTGCAACAAACTGCATAACCACCAGCCTTGGTTCTTAGTTGCAAAGATCGATTTTTCTGCTCGTTTTGCGGCCGCGCCCGATGTTTAAAGGTTACAAGCGATTAAAACTATGGCAGGAAATTGCTATTACGGAACTATTTAGTCCTGTAGGCTGTTTTCCGAGCTCTAATGCTCAGTTCTGCCAAATATGCAATAATCAACAGGTCACCGTATAAGCCTCAAGTTAATCGCCCGTATCTTGACCGCAAGCCAAGAAAAAGGAAACAAATCGTTACGAGAGCATGATCTAGATAACAGTATTCAAATCAAGCGGCATAACAAGAGCTTTAGCACTTTTACTTTTTTATTTGCGCCTTTTTGATGTAAGTACCCGAATACTACTTTGATCGCAGTTGGATAACAGATGAATTCTGGCCGGTTTTCCTCGATGGCAGAATTTCAATGTCAACATTTCTTCACAAAAGGTCTTAATGTTCTTCACTTTATTCGGTGACATATTGCAGTCATTGCGGTTGCTGCTGCTGGTATGAGGAAACAGCGAAAATGTCGTTTCCTATGTTTGTGTACCGTTAAGATCTTTATAAAGCCGGTGGTTTTTTATGGGGATTTCAATCGGATCATAATTTATTTCAGGAGTTATTTCTTGAAATTAGTGCATCTGTTGACGCACTACATCGTATAATGTTTTGTTGGTTCTTTCATTTAACAGCGCAAATGCTTCAACTGGTTTGCGATCAATAATACATGACATTCTTTAGTCGAGATCATTGTTTTGCCATTATTTAACCACGCGTATTTGCTTAAAATAAAAACAGAGGTGCGCGTCTTCGACCCATTTCCATTAAGAACACCTTCATTTGGACAATGAGATTAATTTTAAGTGAAGGAAATTGGTTCTGATTAATTCAGTTGTCTGGGCAGCGGTTGTTGAAGTGCAATTTTTTAAAACTTAATGCTTCAAACCGATGCTCAGTGAAAATATACCAAAACTAGAAAAGTTCAAACATCGGTTATTGTCTAACAAGCGACGGACTTTACACAAACCATCGATATTTAGCAGCATTTTTTTTTCTTTCGAATATTGGCTTTCAAAACCGCGATATTTTTCTGAGATTTTGAAACAAACAAAGTTCCTAATATCTTAAACCGAATTAAGGTCTAGTTGAAAGGCTGCGAATGGACGGGTCTCAGCCTATTGTGCACCGCCGAAGAAAAATACGAAAATTACCCAATTTCAGCAATTTTAAGGCTGGGAACTGCGTTTAGATAGTGTCACGGTCTTGTTACCGCTCGAAATCAAGAAATGAAACAACCTGAAAGAAAAACAATCATTTCTTTGGTCGTCTTTGTCACACGCATTGTCCTGTCCAAGGACGTGGACGCAACTTTTATGCAAAAACAATGGGCGTACTGACGGGGCTAAAATTCGGCAATGTGTTTAGTAGACAATCTTAGTCCAAACAAGGTCAATTTGGTTCCCAAAAAAAATCTAAATCAATTAAGGTTGCAAACCTTAATAGCGTCTACCTATACAAATGTTTGCAGCTCGTTAAACTGAACTAAGCAAAATTAATATAATTAAAAGGTAATAATATGAAAAGGATTACCAAATTTTTATACAAATCCTCGGTTGTCATCCGGTTAAATAACATTAAACTCGATTAAATAATGTCCATAATCAGCACCTAATTGACTATTTCATTAGGAAGATTATTGTTAGTTGTTGGCAATTGATTGCAAGTTGTGCTTTTGCCATTGTGGTCAGGTTTTTGTTATTTAGCGCGGAACTGAAAACTCTTGATGGCAAATTTTTGCCAAATATTTAATGTCTTAGAACTCATATTAGCCGTGATTAAATAAAAGGAAAAGTTAAACTTGAGCTTGCACCAGCTGCTGTAAATAATGCCTGAACGCTCTGTTTGTCATTTTAATATCTGGCTAATTGTTAGATGCGTTTAAGCAGGCTAATTTGCTCTTGTAACATACCCACAGTCGTTTGTTCGGCAATTTCGAGGTTTGAGTGATTACAATAAAAACAGTTCGTGCATTATTTGAAAGGTGGTAAAAACCCAAAAATACCTTTAATGTTGCATCTACGAAATCCAAAGTGGAAAGTAACCCACTGGCTTTACCAGTCAGCTTCACTAAAACGCACTGTTATCACTGGGATGCAAGCATTTTTTCCATTATCACCAATTCTTCCAAGTTTCACTGCTTGAATGGACGAAGAATCTTTTCTAAAGGTGAAAACTTCCCATTGTGTTTTAGAAGAAATCGGAAATTTCTTGTAACATTTAAAAAAATAATTCGCGCGGTTTTTCCCGCTGCAGATTCCTAACTGAGCCGGGTACCACCATGAAGAAGTCGGCACCGCCAGCTTAGGCTCCAAGTGGGGACTTTCATTGTTTACAATTTAGTCGAAAGGTAATCAATCGAACTGGGCAAATGAATCGTTTAGAGAATGTTTTAATTGCATTTTTTCATCGTCTTCGATTCTCAAATTTCTGGTTCAAACCTTGAATTGGCTCGGGCTATGCGAAGGCCCTGTGTATTTTCGAATTTAACACTTTAATGTCAAACGAAATGCTCGGTTTACCAAGTAAATACTTTAGATTGGATGTTGGGCAACTGCTTATTAAAGCCGTATTGTTTTTTAATTTGATTAGCATTGTCAAGGTGCGTTTGATTTTACCTTTCAAAGGCAAGAACTCACCTCGAATGCCTAATAAATCATATCAACGACTTGTAATGTTAAAGTAATAATGGGCAAGGAAATACAAATAAAATAAATAAAAACGAAATGGAAGTTACATTTCTAGAGTAGTTTGAAACTGACTCGGATATGGAGCAAAAATCCACAATGTCTTAAGCCGATAATGATCGCTGATGTTCTCGCTGGCGTAAAATTTTCGGGCAGGTTTCCGTTTTAAATTACATTGAAGCTGCAATTGAGAAGATTAGGCTGACTAGAGTTGGTTCGTCTACAACTCGCGCTATTTTTGCATACACATTCGATGACTTTTTTCGTCTTTCCAATGACTGGAAGGCAGGAAATCGATTGAGCAGTGAATCCACGCCTTTCTTTTTAAAATCCACTAATTGTTTTCTATTAAAGGGTGATAATTACGTAAGGCGTGTCGGTTTTAAGGTGTAACTCAGTTAGATGACACCATCCAAGGATTCCGGATTCGATCGTCACAAAGACGGGCGCAGTCAGCTTTACAAAAGTGAATCAACTTATTTTTTTCAAAGACGTTTCAGTACATGTAATCACTTGTGATCTCCACCTGAATTCTTTGGTTTTTCTCAACCGATTTTATAGGCTTTTCAACCTTCAAAGTCCGGATTTTAGATCGATTAAGAGGAGTTTCATTCATGTGGGTCGATCTGTTGATTGACATCACTTCATCTAAGAATGCAGAATAAAGTTACAATTTTATTTGCAACTGATGTTCATAAATTTGATTTTGTTGCCGAAAATTTGGACACTCCGTAGATGGAAAACTGGGCGATTTCCAATATAAAATAGGGTGTTTTCACTTTTTTTTTAATGTTGATAAATAGAAAGTAGTTATGGCAAACATTATACTGATATAATTTTTTTTGCAAAAAAAGTCTCCATTATAGTTTTAAAGCGAATTTAAATTCAAATCAGATATTTTCCGCTAAAAACGCCCAATCCGTATCGTCGGTTGCCTATCCCGATTGTGACGTAGCAGGTCATATCAACAAAGTGTCTCGTGTTTATTTTGTTGTTTTCGCAGCTTTGTTTTATTATTTACGTTATTGTGATTATCATTATTTTATTGATTGTTATTATTATCTTGCATAATGGAAAACGGTGACATGTATGGATCACAAAATAAGTGGTGTTTTGTGCCAGGATGCAAGAATACCTCAATAAGTGCTCCAAACAAACTCTTTCTAACCGTTCCTCATGATTATGCATGTAAAGTTTTATGGTTGAAAGCAGCTAGACGTGATGTTCCTAAATCAAAATCAATGTTTTTTTGTTCGCGAGGATCATTAGAATATGCCTTCGATCGTACTTTGTGTTCTGGGCAAATTCTCCCTTGTACAGTGCACAAAGAACCCTCGCGTTTCAATTCCACATATCCGCTATCACCATATTGTTCTCGTGATGCCCAAAATACAAATTAAATGTCGTAATGATTAAAAATCGCTACGCCGCTCGCGATGCCCAAAATAAAAAAAGTGAAATTCTATATATTATTTACCTAATTTAAACCAATACAGATAGATTAGTATATTAAGGAGAGAATAACTAATAATTAGTTTACGGATTTTTACTTACGCTGCTGCTTTGACACCTTTGAATTCGGCTGAATTAAAACGTTCGTCGTTTTTTAAATATTCGGTACCTATAAAAATATGTACACATGGTAAATTGTTTGTTGACGCTTTAAGGAATCCTTCTGAAGCGATTTTTTAGTTTAACACAAACTATAAATTATTTAAATCCACAAAATAATTAATCAAACGCAACCACACAACTAAACACTACGCACAGAACGTAAACAATTGGCCATTTATATGACCAGAGACGTCACAACCAATAGGATTGCGTTTTAGAGATTCATGAATAATTAGAATTTTAGCTGAATTTGTTTATTAAATATTTAACAAAATAGCAATAGATAGATAGTATAAACTTATTTGATCTTTCATATAAATAAATTACCATAGATTAATGTTCAGTTTGTAGGAATTTTTGATACAATGCTAACAGTTCGACAGGCGCTATACACTATCTATCGCTTATTTTTGCAAAAATTTACATTTTCACCTAAACACGCCTCTATTTTACCAACCGCAGACGCAGCTAAACAAATTTGTCAAAAACATTATTTTTACACCGCAATCAACCAAACTATTTTTGTATTTAATAAATATTCCTAATTTCATCTTGCACATGCTTGAACCTTGCACTACAAGCACATGTTGTCTTGCCAATGGAAACACCTTTAACAGAGTATCAGAGAAACATATAAAATCAAATTATATGCAATTTTATTCGAAAATATGCGGAAAAGGTTGAAACAAACCTGAATTTGAATAATTAATATTCCACTGCTTTGGAGCCGGTATTTCAGCAATTTTTTGATTGCGCTGTACGTTTGCCTTTGAATGGTATGCTCACACTAAACTTAGTGAAATGAGCAAATTAATCCTAATGATTTATTGTCTCGTCCAGCCACACATCATTAATATTTTTTATTAATTTCTCTCTGCGTAAGTGGTCTAGTTTCCAACAAATCATGCGGTCGCCGAGTCAAGGTGAGTTTAGCGTAATTAATAGTGTGTTTTTATCCTTGACTGTCTTGAAATTAGCTAAATTCACTGCGGCAACGTTTAAAGTGCACAAAAGCGATAGTTATTTGCAATTGTTGCCTATAATAATCAAACAACCGCCGGTGGATGGGATTTTCTAGTGCAAAGCACTACTCGCCAACAGACTGGCAAAAAATAATATTCCTTAAAACCAGTCTGAGAAATCGTTTACTATCGTGCGACCGGCCTCGCTTAATTAACGCAAAATCGCCCATAATAATGCAATTTAGAATATTTAGTGCTGTTTGAATATAAAAAATTGCTCTATTGTCTGCGGTTGGCTCCCACGAATCAGACTGAAGACGGTTCAGACGAGTTATTGATATCGTTCAGAGAAAAATCAGGCATATTCTATTCCACAGAATACAATTGTTTATTTAGTATGAATTTGCATGCTTTAGTGGTTTTAGTTGGAATTTTTAGATGCATCCATCAGTTCAAGTGTGTGCATTTTTTTGCTCGTCTACTCCTCAAGTTTCCCTTGATAATGCAGATTAGAAATTTTTCGCTGCGTCTAGTGTTTCTTCTTTCACTTCTGTGACTGGTCTATTTTGTTCTCAATTTTCAAATGTCTGTTATGGTTTTCCTCATTTTCCCCCTGTGTTCCTTCTATAATCACAAATATTTTTGCGTGTCTTGTCACTCCCACATTTTCCAAACTTTTTTCCTCCTTTCATTTCGTTAATCGGTACTTTTGCGAATCTTTCACACTTCAAAGGAATTGAAAGAAATTTTAAAAAGGTGTTCTTTATAACTTTACCTTTTTTTAAAACTAATTGACCAAATACATGGCTGAGTCAATTCATGCTTTTTTGCTGCGTAAAATAGGCATCATTTTCATTCACTGATCAGGAAGTACCTGAAAATAATCCAGGTCTGTTTCCGGACGAATTCTTTTTTTCTTCTTCGTAATCTTAACATCAGTAATTACATCTTAATAAGGAAAAGCTGCGATTCCACCAGTAGCTTAAACGCCTGTGCCGTTATTCGGTTGCTTGCTAGTGCAGCTTTCTTTCCACAATTGCTGGTTTCAGATATGGTATTAGCATTTTCATTTTAATTAGATACTCATTGGGAAAATTGGCTTTGCGGTTATTCATTCAGCTTTGAAATCGCAATCTTTCTCAATATTGAAACACCAGAACATTCTTGCACCAATTCTGATCAGGTGTTTAAGCGATTTCGACCGCGTGACCTTTAAGGGGCGTGGTGGATTCGTGCCCCCGTGACACTTCTTAGTCGTTCTTAGGCCCCATTGTAGTTCTAATAGAAAGGAAAGACCACGACCAAGTGCCACTAGAAGGTTTCTATTGTCTAGCTAATATAGAATCAATATCAACAGTTCCTTTCATCTTACAAGGCGATTGATTCATGCTCTAAGCGCTTGGTATACAGGAAAATCCTGCAGAAAGTTACTAAACCGTATTCACCTCATGCCCCGTATAAGTCTTACCTCGACCGTATCTTAGCCCATTTACTTTCGAACATATGAGGCAATAAAACCGATATTAGCCGGCAGTTAATATTGCAAAAATGACATATAACAATAACAAAATTATATCACAAATACAGTAAAGAAATCTAATTAAGCTAGACAATGGATGCAATTCTTTAAACGCATGGTGTACAATGTATGGCTATTTTTGTTAATTATTTCCCTGTAAGTGGAGAATGTGTGTCCATTAACTTTTTTAGTTGCCGTTAATTTTAAGGTCTAACTATTGAAATAATTAGCAAAAAGACGATTTAGTAGACGGAGTAACTTAGACTTAATTAAACGACAGAGAAGAAAACTTTCTTCTTCAAAAAAACTTCCAATGGTTTTCCATTTGTTTCATTCTAAGATACAAATCCAACGAAGCAAACCAGCAAAAGAAAATAGCTAAAAGTAAATTAACTGATTAAAAAGTTAGGCAATTTTGGTAGGAAGTGTCTCAAGGACTGACCGATCGATTATTTTATAAAAGTATAATAAATTTCCTATAATTATAACTGTCTGAAATGCCATTTTTCG